TAACTAAGGAGCAAGAAAAGTCAAGCTTAGTGACTCTAAACAAGCAATCTTGGGAGGTATTCCCATGTTATTCTTGTACATATTATTGCATTTTAAGTTTGTGTTTGTGTCTTTCCTTTGATTCTAGGCACATGTGGAGTTTAAAGCAGGTGGTTGGTTGAATTAGTGAACATCTCGACGTGTTCTGGCTGATATCGCGCATGGACGTCGAGCTTGCCAAGCATCAACATCAAGCAAAGGAGCTCAATGTTAGCAGATCCGAGATACATCGGGCAGTCACATCGCGAGATGTCTTCAAGCCGAGAAGAGTCTCAGGGATATCGAGCATTAACATCGCATGACATAAAAGGGCAGGGAGTAATGGTGCCAACATCGCGCTTAAACATCGAGCTACCAAGCTCGATGTTCGTATATCGAGCACCAGTGTCGTGCAATGTGCAAGGTAGCAGAAAAACCGAATTCACATCGGGCTGCGACATCGCATGATATTTTCAGCCCGAGAGGAATCCCAAACACATAGATCTACGACATCGCGCGATGTGCGAAAGAGCAGAAAAACCAAGTTCACATCAAGCTCCAACATCGACCAGGTCAGCTCGATGTCAACACCTTGACAACCAAAACCTCCTCTAAGGCACCTAACCTCACCCCTTTTTTTATGCATCCTTTTGCAATCATTTTGAGTTTGTTTTATTCACCTCCTTAAAGCTTCTATTACGTAAGGGCCTGTGTAATCTAAGTGTGGGAGAGGGCATTGCATTTAACATTTTGTTTTGTTTTATTATATTTCCCTTTTGCATACTTGAGTCTTATGTATTCATGCATTCATCTATGTGCACTAAAAATCCATAAAAATTTCAAAATTTTGGAACCAAAAAGAATCATTTAGGTGCATTTTCATAGTTAAGATTGAGTCTATATGCATTTCAAGTAGGTTTGCATACATTTGCATAGGGATTAGATGATAAACACTTCTTAAGATGTTCATGTTTTAGTTGTTTTCAACGCCTTGGTTATCTGTTGTTTGATTGCATAGTAGTGAGTTTGAAGTTAAGGCTGCACCAAATCCTGAATTCTTGCATTGATATTCTTGTCTTATTTTGAAGCTTGTTTTGATTTTATTCCAACTCTATCTTATTAGAGCCATAATCCTGACTTTGAATTATCTTGTTTGTGCATTAAAAGTGATTACATGGCTACCCACATATATACTTTGATTATCTTCTTCCCTTCTTACAACTCTTGTTAAATCAAAGTAGCTGATCCTCGTCATTATGGGACAGTTAACCACACCCTAAACCAATCCTTCTTTCTTAACCTAAACACTATTGTGAGAGTTGTGAGGCCTTGCATTGCATTATTTTTCGATTTTATCTTGGCAGAAAGTGTAAGGATTAAGGCTGGCAAGGAGAAGCTCTCTTGTAGACACTAGCTTGCATTTTGAGCATGGTATTAGGTTGGGAGGTTTGGAAAGGGTTGTGTAAGTGGTTTAAGGCTTTAAATGTTTAAATCCTTTGAGAAGAAGAAGAAGTATGGGGAGAACAGTTTATTTTCTAAGTTAAGCTAATTAGAAAGAAAGCTCTAAATGATAAGAAAGAGAAGGTGTCAGCAACATAAATGCTTACAAAGGTCATCTAAAAGGAGAAATCAGGCCAAGAAATCCCCCAACGGTGATGAAAAATGGCGCCAACATAAACAAAAAAGAGCAAATTCCAAAAAGAAGTCAACCACACAAGCAAAGAAGAAGGAGTCTCCCCTATATATCAAGAAGAAGTAGGGAAGTGCCTTGGGAAAAGGTAGATTTAGGAGTTTCACTTAGAGTTTAGAAGTCATTAGGTTCATCTTTAGGTAAAAAGGGTAGAAGAGAGCTTTAACTTGCATGCATAAGTGTGCTTTTACCTTTAGCATTTTGCCTAAGATAGAATCATTTCATTGAGTGATCCCTTGAGTCTTTGAGCATTTATTGCATGAGAACATTTTCATCTCATAACCTTAACCCTGAAACCAAATATTTTCTCTTGATTTGCACAAACCTGATCCATTTTGTTACTGATTAATGAATGTTAAAGAATTGGTAGATTTGAATACTTGTGTAGGCTAAGCTAGGGTTTATTGTTTGTTATGATATGTATGGCTAAGGCTTTTGAAGTAGGACAATCTCTATGCATCTTAGAACTCATAACTTGGGCATTGAATCAGTTTTCCATTGGCATAGTTTTGAGCTCCTACCTTCAAACCTCATTCTCCCATTTGTTCTTGTTTACGAGAGGAAAAGCAAAAGGCAAGTGTGGGAGTGTTGATATATCCTATATTTATTCCATTTAAGACTGCATTTAGTTCATATTTTGGTCTTCTCTTGCATGTTTTTCTTTGCTTTTGTCCTATTTCCCTTTGTTCTTAGACTTAGGTTGCATTTAGGTTGTAGTTTGCATTTGCTTTGCATAAAGGATGTTTTTAGGTACCTAAGGAGCCTTTAAAGACAAGGAGGAAACATAGGAATGATTCAGGGAGTTGCCCCAGTCAAAGAAGTTCAAGAGGAGCTAAGGAAGTAGGATTTTGGTCCAGCATCGACCTTGATAGAGTCCACATCGTGCGATGTATTGCACCCAAGAGTAAAAGTATTTACATCGAGCACTCACATCGCATGATGTCAAACCACATGACATCTACATTGGACAGTGACATCGCACGATGTAAGAGGGCAGGAGCTATCAAGATTTACATCGAGCATGCACATCGAGCCAGTATTCTCGATGTCAGGCATCCGAGGAAGCACATCATGCATTTATATCGAGCAAGACCAGCTCGATGTCAGCACATCGAGCATCCAAATCGACCTAGCTTGCCCGATGTTCCTACAATTCGAAACAATTTTGCCACTCTGCTAGGACCCTTATAAATACTTCAAATCCCTGGGAACATCCTATTATCCAGCAGTTCTTTCTTTTTTTTGTTCTAATCACACTTTGTAGTTTCGAATCTTTGCTCTATTTTAATATAAGTTTGCGTTAATCTTCTTGTTTAGTCTTTCTAATCATGATTAGCTATCTTCTGTTCTTTGATTTGATGGTTTTGATGGTGATTAGTGAGTAGCCTCTTCATGGATTTGAGATGTCTTAGTGTTAATTCTCCCATTCATTTCAAAGTTACTTTGTTTGATGCCTGATTAGCCCTAGCTAAGTTGATTAGGATCATAGGCTCAGTTTATGACCACCAAGCGTTTGTTGAAATGCCTGAATTGCAATGTAAAAGAATTTCGTATCCTAGCTCAAGAGATTGACTGACTAGGGAGTGATTTGGCAATATAGGATTGAATGAATGTCTTAATGCTTGATGTTTATTATTTCACTAATGAGAATTAGTTCTTGACTTGATAATTAAAGAAGAGATTATTGCCATGTGATTAGATTAGTCATATAAATGAATTCTATGCATATGGAATAGCATTGTGTGAGTTTGTAAGCATCATGAGCTGAATAAAGAGTTCCCTAATACCAATTATCCCATCTTAAGTCCTGTCTTTTCACTGTCTTTAGTTAATTTCGAGTTTGCTCTGTTTTTACTTAAGTTTTGAATATTTTGCTTGTTGCTTGCTCTTGTTAAGTGTTTCTTTCAAAAATTACAAAGTGTGATTCTAAGATGACGTAAAACAAACCAAGATAGACGTAAAAACACAAGCTTAATTCAGTATGAACTCTAAATTAAGCTATAAATAGTACTTTGCAAAATGAATGGACAAGATGCTTATGACGATCTCTTAGAGAGAGGAAAAAGCTAGATGCTAAAAAGATAATTTTCGCGGTCGAGAGTTAATGAAAGCAAAGGATCGATGTGATTACAAATAGTTACAAAATACTCTCTTTCGATAATTTATAAGTACCAAATTTATTAGTAATACATACTATATTTTATAGATTAACAAATTTATTAGTAATACATACTATTTGAAATGGTCCTAAAGACTAACTATGCTTTTATATTAGATATATTATTAAAATACTATTATATTTTAGATAATATTTTTTTATTAAATATTTTTGGAAACACAAGCTGTTCTTTTCTTTTACAAAGAAAATTATTTACATAATTTATAGTTATATTTATTGTTTTTCAAATTAAATATATAAATAAAATTAATTCATTCCATATAGTAAATAAGTAGTAAACAGTTTAACTAATAATATTTAATAATTATTCAATAGTCAAAAGTAATTAAATATATACAAAAATATTGATATATAAAACTTAGACATTGGTGAAAATGCTGAATCATATTATCAATCACATAATATTAAAAATTTATATAGCGACTTTATATTTCTATCCAGGTATATTATACATAATATAATATTATATAAAACTTATATAAATTTAATTATATTATTACTAAAATTTAAAATTATACCAAATTGAAATGAATAATAATTATTTTATCTTGCATAAGCTACGGATTATTAACTAATCTTATATAAAATCAAATACTATACACCAATCTTTCTATATTCATTCAATAGGCACAATAAAAAGATTAGCGGAAAATAAAGAACGAAATACTAGAATTGTACAAATATCATTTACAGTGTTAGACGCACACAAAAAAAAAACCCCCCGAAAATTGTGGTGGGAACAAAATCAAAACCTTTAAAAAACCCATGGTCCTAAAAAGTTCTCCAAAAAAGTCTCTTAGCTCTCAATTCCTTTTAATTAAAAAAGAAAAGAAATCTTTAATTTAGTAAAAATAAGAAAAATCTATTTTTGGTAAGAGCAAGCCTAAACTTTGTAAGCTAACTCTCTCAAACACAAGAAAAAATGTATACATTTTGTTTTGAACCCTCAAAAAGGATGTCCAAACTTTTGAACAATAAACACAAGCCAAGCAAAACAACAATCCTACAAAAAGAAACAGCAACATACATTATTATTATCAACACCATCTTTCTGATAAAATTCTTCATAAAAAACAAAACAACAACCGCGGTTGTTTTTCTTCTTATTAATCCATGACTGCTGTTATATTCCTCTGCTTTCTCGTCCTCTGTTTCTCCTCCACCCCTACTCTGCAACACGTAAGCGAGTCATTGCCGCTCGTGCGGTTCAAGAGCTCGGTGAATATAACCAAAGGCGACCTCAATTCATGGAGAAGCGGAACGGATCCTTGCAATGGCAAATGGTTTGGGATATATTGCCAAAAGGGTCAAACAGTCTCGGGTATTCATGTCACCCGACTTGGTCTCTCCGGGATCATCGACATCGAAGATCTTAAGAATCTCCCAAACCTAAGGACAATTAGGCTCGATAATAATCTTCTTTCCGGTCCGCTCCCTCCTTTCTTTAAGCTTCACGGCCTGAAATCGCTCTTGTTATCAAACAACAGCTTCTCTGGAGAGATCGCTGATGATTTCTTTAAGGACACGCCACAACTCAAGCGGGTGTTTTTTGATAATAATCGTTTCACTGGAAAAATTCCCACATCTGTGATGCAACTTGCGGGCCTCGAGGAGCTTCACTTGCAAGGCAACCAGTTCTCTGGAGATATACCTTCTCTTACGGATGGCAACAAAATTCTAAAATCCCTCGACCTCTCCTATAATAATCTAGAGGGAGAGATCCCAAAGAGCATAGCAGAAAGAAAAAATTTACAGATGAACTTCCAAGGGAACCAGAAGCTTTGCGGAGAGCCTCTGAATATCAAATGCGATGATAAAAATTCATCACCCGGGTCAGGAAAAGACCCAAATGAAGTTACTGGGAAAGCCATCTTTATGGTCATTTTGTTTCTTTTGATATTTTTGGTCGTGGTGGCGATTATAACAAGATGGAAGAAGAAGAGGCAGCCCGAGTTCCGGATGCTTGGCAAGGACCACCTAAGTGACCAAGAAAGTGTGGAAGTCCGCGTGCCAGACTCAATAAAGCAACCTATTGAGTCAAGCAAGAAGCGGAGTAACGCAGACGGTTCCTCTAAAAAAGGTTCAACCCATCATGGGAAAGGGGGAGGAGGCGGTCCTGGAGGAGGCGTCATGGGAGACATTATAATGGTGAACAGCGAGAAAGGCTCGTTTGGTTTACCTGATCTCATGAAGGCTGCGGCCGAGGTGTTAGGCAATGGTAGCCTTGGATCGGCCTATAAGGCGGTGATGGCCAACGGATTATCCGTGGTTGTAAAGAGGATTAGGGATATGAACAAGCTCGCACGTGACGCATTCGATGTCGAGATGCAAAGATTTGGGAAATTACGTCACCCTAATGTTCTTACCCCTTTGGCATATCACTACCGTCGCGAAGAGAAGCTTGTCGTCTCAGAATACATGCCAAAAAGCAGTCTTCTATATGTTTTACACGGTACCGTAATTTTTTTTTTCTCGATTGACTTAGAGACATATTTTAAAAGTTTGCGTTTACATTTAATAATCACTAAGGTGAAATTATTTCAGTTCAATAAAAGAACTTGTGGTGAAATTGCTAAAATATCATTATTTTAATATAAAATAGAATATCGCAAACCACAACAAACAACCGAAGTTTATATTTGATCTTTTGGGACCCTTTTGAATTTCTTTTGATTGTTTTTATTTATTATTTAGGAGACCGAGGGATTTATCATTTTGAGCTTACTTGGCCAACACGGTTAAAGATCATACAAGGTGTCGCGCGTGGGATGCAATTCTTGCACGAGGAATTCTCGTCCTACGAGCTTCCACATGGAAATCTCAAATCCAGCAATGTTCTATTGAGTGAAACATATGAGCCACTGATCAGTGATTATGCATTTCTTCCCCTTCTTCAGCCTAACAATGCTTCCCAGGCTTTATTCGCGTTTAAATCCCCCGAGTTTACTCAAAACCAGAAGGTTTCCCCAAAATCAGACGTCTATTGCCTCGGAATTATTCTTCTTGAGGTCATGACTGGAAAATTCCCTTGTCAATACCTAAATAACAGTAAAGGCGGGACGGATATTGTTGAATGGGTGCAATCTTCAATGGCGCAACATAAAGAAGAAGAGCTTATCGATCCAGAGATAATGAGTAATACTGATTCGTTGCAACATATGGTCGAATTATTGCGGATTGGAGCTTCTTGTATTGCAAGTAATCCAGATGAGAGACAAAACCTGAAGGAAATTGTTAGGAGGATAGAACAAATAACCATTTGACAAGATTAAAAAGAAAATTTACCTTCTTAATCTGTAGGTAAACAGACATAAGAGGAAAAAGGTAGGTTACAGAAATAGGAGTGACACAATAAAATGATACTATTGGTAACAAAAAAATGATTTTTCCTTTTTTTATTCATTAGGAAGAAGCGAAGAAAATACCACCTTATTTGTTTTGTAGATTTTCTCTTGCATTTGTTTTTTCTTTCTTTTATTGGTCCAAAAATGTAAAATTATATTATTTTTTTTGTTAAAAGGTTTTTGTAAAATCATATTAGTAGTTGTTTTTCAAACATTTAATGTATATAAATCCATGTTTTTTGTTATATAAGATGTATTTTTACCCAAAAGAAAAATGAAAACATATTTTTTAAGGGGAATTACAGAATATAACCCAAAACTTGAGTTGAAATGTAAAACTAGACTCCCTATGGCATGTTTGATAGGGCTTAGGTTTTATCCAAATAAAACTACTGCAAGTGCATAGCAAAGCAGTTATAGTATAAGAGGTTATCGAATCCTAAGGGAGTAAGTAAACTACACTATAGAATTTAAGTTCGGATTAAGCTAAGCAATCAGTACTGTAGGTAATGAGAAATAGCAAAATAAATGAAAGCAAGCGATTTATTGATTAATCTAAGATTCAAAAAACTAAAAGCGCTAAGTCAGATCAATTTGCAGGTTGAATCCGAGAATGTAGACTGCATGCAAGCATGAATGATTTAAACCGTCTTAAATTCAAAACTCAATGATATAACTAATCAATTTTCATTACAGAAGTACTCTATGCCTAATTCACAGAATTCCAAATCTCTTGGCAAATTCTAACAAGTTAAGCAAGCGATAAAGATCAGGTTTCGATTGTTCACGAAACTCCTAAGTCAAATCTCTTTGCAAGAAGGCATTTTGCTCATCTAATAATAATTCAAGTGATGGAAAATGTTCTCATATCTATTAAACAACCAAGGGCTCCGAATTTCCTGATGACTAGTCAAAGAAATCAGTTTTGAATGCAAGCACATATGAAGAACCAAAAGATATTCCTAACAGATTAGCGATTCTAAAAACTCTTCATTAACCTTTGAAAAGCCGTAACTTAACTAACAGATTACTCAGACATGATCATGAAGACACAAAACATAACTGAATAAAACTGCATTAAAAGAGATAGAGTAAGAGTTAAAGGGGTTCGAAGCCAACAATGGCTGAAAACCTAATATATACAAGCCAAAACACGAGCTGGAACACTTTTGTAATTAGTAAAACTTCTGGCGCAAAAGTGCAATTAATTCTCCATCTTTTAAAACCAGTCGCGACTCCTCTTTAGATACGAGTGATGAGCATCACCCTTGAGGGGTGACGATCGTCACCAAATCATATTGACGCCTCCGAGTTGCCAACTTCATAATTGATTCTTGCAATGCTCCAAAAAGCCCCAAACCCTCCAATTATGCTACAGACATGCTATAACCTACAAAGACTCTACTAGGACTCTAAAAAGACCAAAAAGAGTCAATAAAAAGGACTTATATCATGGTTAAAAACCATTATAGATCAACTCCCCCAGACTTAAGCTTTTGCTTGCCCTCAAGCAAACATCAGACACAGAACATGGTCGAGGTTTGAAAAAAGAAACAGTCAGCTAAACATCGGGAACACCACATTGATCAACACTTTCGAATCCACACACCACAGAGCCAACACAAGATCAAATTTCAGTCGAATCATCACAAGCTTAGCAAATCTCTCAAATCGAGTTCAAGCTCCTTCAAGAAATCTGAAATCTCTACTGCTAACTCCTTATAGTTATCTAAGTGTGATATCTCATCAAGTTTTATCATCTCAATCAGTTACAGATTCATTTCCCTTCCTAAACACTGGACAAAGCAATCTCAATACAAGTCTCTTATTTTCTCTTCTCTTGATCTTTTCTTCCTGATTTTTTTTTTTCGATTTTTTCAACTTCTTTTCTCATTTTTTTACAGTCTAAGATATGGTGCTCCTCAATACTTGTGTTCCTAGTGAGGAGTAAGGTTCTTGAGTGTTCATTACTTTTGTTCCTTATAAGGAGATACGGTCATGATACACCATTCTATGGACTTAAACTCTTAAAAGCTGTATCACGGAAGATCAAAGAGAGACTGCATCTAAACATCCTTGTCAGTGTTGAAAGAGTGAATCAAGATCACTGAGAATCAAGCCCCAAGATAAGAAGTTTATAGTTCATTAAGGTGGAGCTAACAGCAAATTTTCCAGATTTTCTAAGAACCTAAACCTTCATTGCTAGACTGATCTACCTATGAATTTCAACTTAGTAAGACTTGTAATCAACTACTGTGGCAATGGTTCTTATAAGCATCATCGTTTTGTGGTTAGTTCCAAGAAAAACTGACAGTTTCAAAATTTTGACTCTATAAAACTGGTTTTTGACTCAACTTTAAGACTCTAAAAACAAAACAAAATGCACACAGCGTCAGTAGCTACCTCCTCCAGACATAAAAAACACTGTCCCCAGTATTATTAAACCTAGAGTTGGTCAAAAAGAAGCAAGTGAACGTGTAGAACAGAGTCTGAAAAGTGTACCTTGCGAGGATCGGGTGACGAGTGTCACCTCTCAGTGGTGACGATCCACCACGTACGAAACTCCAGCATCGACTAGTTAGATGTGTTAAACGTTATGTTATCATTTGTACTCTAAAGTTCGACTGTTAGAGCACTCAAACACACATTTAATAACACAAAAATTAACCATAACTTCTGGTTCAACAAGTTCACAAAACAACATCAAAGCAACTGACAACAGACTCAAAAGAAAAACATAAAAATGAATCAAGAGAAATAAAAAAAAAAAGAGAAACAGAAACAAGTAACCAGATAGTAGAGGATGTAGTCCTCATCCTCGCAGACCTCAGCAGCAGAGTGGGGTCTGACACAGCCATAATGTCTGAGTTTAGACACAGCATCCCATAAGCCCTCAAAGCTGTCAATGACAAAATCCTGAAAGGCAGTCATATCATGGGCGTCTGAGGTCTAGGAGGGTGCCTGAAAGAAGTGGGTATGGTCGTGGATGTAGTTTGGCGTCTCGATGGTCCAGCTTGTGTAGCACCAGCGGAAGGGGAAGCGCCAGCAGTGGCGCCTCTAGGATGCTGGGGAAGAAGACGCAACAAACTCGGGTCAGGCTAAAAACGCAGCTGGCGTCTATCACCCTGGATCGTGGTGAGCGCCCGGTTTGGCAACTGGATGCCAACATACTCTCCAGTAAAATTAGTGAAAGTCCAGACCAATCGCTGCTTGAACCAAGTAGCATGGCGCATATGTGTCTCATCCATAAGAGCTCCCTTAGTGATAATGCTGCAAGGCGATGTATCAATCTGAAAGTGCTGGAAGATAGGCGTGAGCAGACTGCCAACGCTCTCACTCTTCTCCCCCAAACTGGTAAATGGCTTGGTCTTCACAGAGACCAAGTGCTCAGCAAAAATGGCACCCATATTGGCGCGGATCATGCTCGTCATCGGGATCTCATCATCCAGCATATCCGCAAAGCCGTAGTAAAGCATGAAGTTATGTGGCATCTCATGTCTTTCGCTAATCTTCCCTCTCATCAGACATGTATCACAGCGTGTAATGAATGCTTGTACATCCTGAAACATAGTAGGCCACCAGAAACCAGCTTGAAGAACTTTGGAGACTGTTTTGAATGCTGCAAAGTGTCCTGCATATTCAGAGCCATGACAGTGAAACATAACATCTTAAACCTCAGCTTCTGGTATGCATCTCCTATAAATCCCATATGCACAATGTCTGTAAAGATACGGCTCATCCCAGTAAAATCTCCTAAGTTCTCTCAAGAACTTCTTTTTAGCATACCCCTGAAATCATGTGGTTCATCCTCTGCAGTAAGATAGTTTGCAATATCAGCATACCAGGGCCTCTTGGGATCAGTAGTGGCATAAACTTGCTCCTCAAAAGCAGCTCCTAAGCTAGCACAGATCATTGCCAACGTCTGAGTTGGGTGACGAGCGTCACCACACTGAGTGACGAGCGTCACCACACTGGGTGACGAGCGTCACTGGGGTCGTGCCTAAACATGATCGCGTTTCTGCTGAAAAGGTGACGAGCGTCACCCCATTGGTGCCGCTCGTCACTGCCCTGTAGTTGCGAGAAGATTGCAGGTTTGCAATACTTTCTTCCTGTATTCGAGTCTCTCAGATAAACATTCTCCTCAGGAAAGAAATCATTGATTGGCACATCATCTTCAACCCTGATCCTGGAGAGACGATCAGCAACTCCATTCTCAACTCCTTTCTTGTTCCTGACTTCAATATCAAGCTATTGAATCCATCTCAACAACCTTGGCTTTGCATCCTTCTTCTGCATCAGATACTTCAGTGCTGAATGGTCTGTGTGGACCACGACCTTGGAGCCAACAAGGTATTGGCGAAGCTTCTCAAAGGCAAAGACCACAGCCAACAGTTCTTTCTTAGGAGTTGCATAGTTCTTCCAAGCTTCATCTAATATCATACTGGCATAGTAGATGGCGTGTAGCTTCTTGTCTTTCCTCTGTCCCAGCACTGCTCCAATTGCAAAATCGCTGTCATGATGTTAAGGTTTTTAATCCTTAGATCAATCTTCAAACACACATGTCATTGTAGTACTTCAGGTGTCTATCCACTTGGGAAGCTAATGGCAATTGAGATATAGAGAACTATGCTAAGCTAAGCTAATAGGGAAGGGGTTTTGATTTTAACAACCTAAGTGATCAAGCAAAAAAGCAAAAGAAAGCAAGCAAAGAGCAGTAAAAGCAATAAGAAACAGAGCATAAACAGAGTGAAAGCTGAACTAAACCAGAATAAAAGCTAGACTTCAAAGATTAAAAGATGTTTCAAGATCAAGGCAATGGTGATAGGGTGATTCATGTTCATGTCTATGGTGATCAAAATAAGCAATTATAAACATTCAACCTTAGGTAAGGAACACTAATAGAGACTAATCTAATCTCT